TTGCGGGTCTAGGAAAAATCTGGATTAGATCAGCCTTATTGAGATATTCAGACAAATAGACCTTTTTAACAATGTCCTGCTAAGATTGAATCTAATAAAGTGGCTTTCATGGGTGGTCTTTACCAAGATGACAAAGGTTTCCAGCACATAGTCAAGTTCTGGAAGAGTATTAATTGGGTTGTCAATACTCCCTGAGACGTGGATGTTTATTTAGATAGACGATAATAGAGTCTCTGTTATTAGGTGTCTCTCCTTTTGAGCTTCCCCTCAGACTGACCAACTGGAGATGCTTAAGGAGATTTGGAAGGATCTCTTCAGGAATTATCTATGTGAGCTGAGAGGTTTAAAAAGTAAGTGTCAGTCTAAGAACATTGAAATAATAGTATCTTTGCAGTGAATTGACATAAAACTCACTCATGGGAATGGTTTCAACAGTCTAAATGTACCATAGGCGTTTCTATATGAATTCCTTAGTCCTAATTGGGGAAGGGGGCAACCTGGTCAGTTGTCCTGGGCCCAGAACTGCAGCTGATGGGGCCCTGTCCCAGGCACAGTCAAACCTGTTGACTGGTCTGCCTGGCTGTGTAGTTCTGATCATCGACCTGTTTCCCTCTGTGCTTCAGGCAGTGTTTGGTGTGTTTGGCAGTGAAGTTTTCGGTTTCATGTCAGTCATTAATCTGTCTGACTTCTGGGAAACTTCTCAAAAGCAGTCTGGACCTCTATCATCACACAAAATAAATACATATTACAATACATATTATAAGCCCTTTTTTTCAGGTTTGGTTAGTAAAAAACACAACACAAGATATTCCAACTGCACTTTGTGTGCTGAAACTCTCTTCAGCTCAAACCTGCAAAAGAGAGTTTGATCAAGAGTCTGTGCTTCAGCAGGAATCACACAACAACAGACAGAGTTTCTGTAAACTTCTCAAACACCTTCACAAGCATGTGGAGCAGAGTTAGACCCTGAATGTATCTATGAGCATGTTCATGCTGACAATGATGTTGATATGCAAAACACTCAGAGACTGTGTGGAGGTCAAAGCTGAGAGGAAGAGGGTGGGCGTCTCTCCTGCAGAGCAGACAGTGTTCCACTCAGAGATCTTTAACAGCAGAGCTGGAGTGTGTGTGTGACTGTTAATTTTCTTTTGTATCACATCCTTGACTGCTAAGCTATAAAAAAAGCAGAAAGCCCTCACCATCATTCAGCAGGATACCTTTCTGTGTTGTTATCTGGGATTGGACAGGAGGCTCACACAGAGCCTGTTAGACCATAGATTGCTCTGATCGAGTCATGGTGGCAGCCGTGTCTGTGGTTTAGAGGCTCATTCAGATTCAATAGCAGAGATTTCAGTCTGGATTTATGCCTCTCTTACTGCCGAGGCTCCTTACTCTGGAGCAAAGGTAAACCTGAATGAATGATGGTGTCAGGGAGCAGACTTCTTCTCCTCTCCCTCCCAGTCAACAGGACCCTGAGCTGAGCAGGCTGACTGTGTTGTGTGTTTCATGATCACTCTGCAGAGCTTCACCTGAGTGTGTGAAGACCATTAACAGAGTCATTAGAGGAGCAGGGTTCATGCTCAGGCCAAAGGTTTCAGCAGGATTTATTCTTAAGACATGCTGAGAATGATAAAATGTCCAGGCGTTTGTTACTGACAGTCCCACGAAGCATGAGTCATAAAGCACCAGCTGCCTCAGGGAATAGGCATGAGGAACAATCACTTGTATCAAAATGAAGGAAGGTACAATATATTTCAGATGTTTTTTTCAGTCAATGTGCATGCTGCATTGTATATTGTACCTCTGTACTTCTCCTTGACAGCCAAAAAAACAGAATATTCATTCCTAACATGAACATTGTCTGCTGAGAAACCCAGAACTCATTTTTCCCTGCAGTGGTGAGCATAGCTGAGGAAGGATTAGGCAGCTACTTCTACATGAGCTTTACATCTTCCCTCCTCCTTTGCTTTGCTTACGCACAGATACCAGTGGCGGGCCGTGCATTTCACACCTAGGCCTTCAGTAGTGCTCCGTCTGAATCAATCCAACCCTCAATAACTATTTCATGGCTATAAAACTTCTACTGCAGATACAGCTGCGACACACATAAAAAAAGCATCAAAAATAACCTGATAAAATTGCAATAATATTTAGGAATACAGCAACATTTTACTCACCAAAAATCCTGATTATTTGTACACAAAATCCATCCTCCTTTCTTTCCTCAAGATTTCAATTACTCTGTTGTGCAGATTATCCGTGCGTTTCAGTTCCATCAAGAAGTCCTTTTCTATCGCCATTTAAGCTAATGCTGAAAGTCGAGCCTGCCCTGTCGTATTTCTGGCATAAGTTTTAATTCGTTTTAGGGCTGAGAATGTCCGTTCAACAGAAGCAGTGGACACAGGGATGGTCACCGCGGCGGTGACGGCGGCGGCGGTGACGGACAAATCCTTTTCCCGGTTGTGACAGGCTTGCTAGCTTCCGAGTTGCCCGACCTTGCTTAACAATGTCCAGCTTTTCTTGAAAAGTCCGTCTTGAAAATGGCTTTGACAGTAAATCTGCAACCAAATCCATTTCTTCTCCTCCTCCAGCCATTGTGGGTTGACAAAACAGCTATTAAATCAACACAACAACATCTTTGCTTGTGCAGCTCGCTACAGATGCAGTTTGCTAGCTCTGGCTAGTACACTCTCTGACTATCCAATCAAAGCGTGTGAATACGCTGACGTTTCCGTACGCCTGCTAGAGGGCCTTGGTGTCGCCAACTCGAAATCTGATTGGTTGAAGCAACAGTTTGATCGACATTTATTTTATGCTACAGGGCCCGCAGAACTGATTGTGAAGGCCTCCAGGCAGATTTCTTTGACCCTGGCAACAAATAGTGGCTGAAATGTGATTGGTTAAATGCTTAAATATGAAAATACACGTCTGGAAGCAGCGCAACCAGGGGGCTAGTAATGAAAGGGAGCGGACAGACCATTTGGAATTATTTAATACGTATTCATGGACAAAATATAATTAACATCAGTCTGTGATTCAGATATTTTTAGGCCAGCAGAGAAGGCCTTGCAGGCCCTGACGGCCCACCACTGACAAATACTTGGTAATTGTGACTCACCATCTTTCTGTGCTCTTTCCTGGTTTGGCTTTTCAAAGACCTAAGAACCACTGCTTTGCTTTGCCTGGCACTCAGCTCCACTTTTGCTGCCTAGTCGTGATTAAATGAGTGTCATGGCCAAGGAATAACAAGTTTAACCAAATCAAGCTTTTTCCCACTTTGAAACTGTCATCAGTTAAAAATTTCAAAATCATATCAATTATAAAGGACTCTGATGAAGCTGGGCTTGAAGCCTTTCTCTGAGTACTGATAGTTTTTTTTATTATGATGTTGTTTTCTCTTCCATTTGTCAGATGGGGTTATGGGAAAAAACTGTAGTTTACTTAGATTTTGTTTTATCAGCTCTTATGCTTTCACTCTTTGAGCCAAATCCCTGCATGAAATGTGTTAGCTCCAATAATGACAGAAAACCTCATCTGTTTATTTCCTTAAGAGTATCTTTAAATGTTCAGACAGATATGTTTTGGGCTCTGATGCTGATGATTTGTGGTAACACTTGATATCATTTTTGTCTCTTACTAAAGAGTTCTCCAAATGCTTTCACAGAGCAAATAGCATTTCTCTGTGTGCTCCCAATTCTATTTGCTGCACAAAGCCATATCAATTTCTGTCTGCTGCTCAATCTGGAAGGTCTGACGGTTGAATGAACTGAGGTGCCATACTGCAGAACATTGTGCACAGTTTGCAGTTGAAACAGCAGAGTCATTTTTTTCAATGGAAAAACTGCTAACTAATACTGGAGAAGGTCGAATGAACTGACCCTTGACCCTCACTTAGGGATTTTGACATGGAATGATATGAATGAATCAAATCTTTGTTAATATATTTCCTGGCACAGCTCCCTCCTCACCTGTGCTGCTCTGCTTTGGCTCTGAGTAAAGTGACTGTGTGTGTTTCGCAGCAGCAGCTGATGTCTCTCTCTGCCTCCATCAGGTTAAACAGAGTCATCAGATTCACTGTGCTTGAGTAGTCTGCTTTTCAAGGTCAGGGGCCCTCAGATACTCAGTCATCCACAATGTGACTGTAGCATGAAATATTACCCAGAGTATCTGCTGTTTATGAGTTAGGTACTTTGTTTGTATGTAAACTAGTCTTGATTGGCCAACAAAATCAATCGATTAATGAAACAGGCCAGGAGCAGGAACTTCACTACAAACTAAAAACAGAGCATCTCATTTTGAGTTGGCAAGTGGTAAATATTTTGAGTTCATTAAAGTGTAATATTTTGAGTAGATACTATTGATGTAATACATTGTGTACAATTAATTTTTCAAGTCCATGTAATATAGTTTTAAAAGTATCATTCAATCAAATCATTTAAGTATGAAGAAGACATAAACATTAAGGTAGGGGAATTTCAAAAATTATATTAAACTTAGAATAAAGGTTAAGTCAACTGAACACAATTTTTTAAAGTATAGTGTAACTCAAAATATTTAACAGCGTAACTTAAACCTCAACTCAACTCAACTTTATTTATATAGCACTTTACACACAACAGAGTTGATCCAAAGTGCTTCACAACAACACGGAGGAAAAACAAAACAAAAGAAGAGAACAAACAGACGACGAAGAAGAAGAGCAGACTGAGTGACAGTAATAATAAAAACGATAGCAATAAAAATATTGTTTTCAATACCATCACTATCATCATCATCATCATAATCCATAATAGTAATTATAAATAACAATAATAATAATAACAATAGCAGCAGTAATAATAATAACAATGATAATGACAACATAGATCTACCAACCTACAGAGCTCACAGAGCCTACATGGGAAATGGCTGAGTTATAAAAGTTAGGGACAGTTAAAAGCTAGGGAGTAAAAGTGGGTTTTAAGATGAGTCTTAAAAATCTCAATGGTGGGGGAGAATCTGATGGTTGGAGGAAGAGAATTCCACAGTTTTGGGGCAGCGTTAAAAGTTCTTATGTAACCTGTTATGACAAAAATTTTGAGTTTCCTGAATTTGTTCGGAGTTTACAGTGAGTAAAAATGACCTTTAAAGCCACTATATAAAACTAAAAATAATAACAATAATAATAATAATGAAGACAGAAGAGCTCATGTTTACATTTCCCTCACAAAGTTTCATGTTGGTTTTCTGCCTAAGAACATTTATGATTATTACTTCATGGAAATGCAATCAGACCGAGGCGCTTAGGCAGAAGAACTAACGCGTCTGCAGTGCAAAATGATTAATATGGTGATAAATTCTTAAAGGAAATGATAAAGAAATCATCATAAATGTTCTTCTTTGAGCTGCATCACCCTGCAGCAGTTCGTAATGGATTGGCCAAAGGTCTCACTACAAACAAGCGGCTGCCGGAAGAGAGTAGGTGAGTTGTGTTTGGTCTCTTTGCGAAAGAAATCAGGCAAAGTAAAAAAGGATGTTTGGTGGTTTGTACTATGGCTGGGACCCTATATGTACTGTTGATGAAATTAGGTGGTGTTCTGAGCATTTTTTGAAACGTGAACATGCAGTAAGGCCAATACAAACAAATATCTCTATTATTCTGTGATTATTGGACTTTGTGACCAATTAGAGAATAAATCAGTAAAAATAAATAAATAAATACAAAAACATATAGAACTCAGGAGTGACACTTTGTTGACATTGATAGTACCAACACTGGACAATTATTTTGTCACCAGTATAAAAGGCTGATGTTGATAGATATACCTTTATATACCTATATACCCATAAATACCTACATTTACCTATATATACACCTATATTCTTATAAATACCAATAAATACCTATATACCTACCTAATACCTAATATATACCTATATAGTAGGACTGGGCAATTTGGCAAAAAAAAAGATCACAATATATTTTGTCATATCGTCCAATCTCGATTATTATCACACTTTTTTGTATTTTATTAAACTGCTCGTTTTAAATCATCTGTACTAAAAACTAAAGAAACAACAAATTAGTTCAACATTTTATTAACATACAAAGTAAATAACAAAGCACATTGAATGATACTAAATAATACAGTAAACTAGTTTACTACTAGTTTAGTTTAAACTAGTTTTTGCAGGTATGCAAGAACCAAAATAAACAAATTGCCCCCTCAGGCATAATGAGGACATCTTAAAATGTAAACATTAGATGATATAGACGTAGATGATACGATTGATTACTGCTTTTTACTGCTTTGGTCTGGTGGCTGCACCGCTAGTTGTGGCTAAACTGCTAATGCTAGTGTCGTCAGCAGTATCAGGCTGTGCAGACTCCACTTGCATTTTCATGTTTTCTGCATAATCACCCGGGAAGTACTTCTTAAAATCATTAAACAGATCTGTTGTGTTGCCGGTTTTTGAGGGCACCTTAAACTTTTCTTCTCAACAATGGTATCTTGAGAGGATGACTCAAAGTCATGGCTTACATCTATTTTGCTGCCATCAGCTCTGCGTTTAGCTCCAAGTCATTCCGTTTACTTCCCCTGATAGCATTTCCGGCAACTTGCAGAAAAGGGGAGGAAAAGCTTGACTCTGATTAGCTGTTGAGATGCACATGTTTGATCCCCTTACCCCATACACTGGGTAAGTTGACCGTAGGAGACCTTTTTTTTTGGCATGCTTTATTATCAAGACAGTTATGTTTACACTCATTCTGTTGGTTTGCAGGGATGCACAATATCTTGAAATATATGCAGATACACTAGTTAGAGACAAAACTATGATTGCCGTGATGTAATGATCTAAAATATGAAAAAATGGCTCATCTTACCCCACTCTCCCCTATATACACATCTATATTCCTAAAAATAACAATAAATACCTCTATATACCTATACCTCTACTTCTATATTCTGCAGCTTCCTCTCTGTTTAGAAGCAAAATGTTTCTCCTGCTGCTCTCAGAGACAGCGTTGGATTCAGATCAGATAAACATTGAAATGTTTTCCTACTCTGATTTATCAGATTAATATCTGATTATCTGATCAAGTAATGAAGATGAACATGGACAAATGGATGAGCTCATTCTCCTTGTTCATGCAGAAAAAAACATAAATGTAATGTATTAATGGCTTTCTCTTTTTTCCTCTGTCTCTTTTCTTAGATAAGTCAAACAGATCTCTCAGTCTGGTCTAAAGTGGACTGTTCTCAGGGGTCTCATTCTCCACCATTTTCAGCTCTGGTATAGCAGCCTTTACACTGCTATACCAGAGCTGAGAAGGTCTTCACACAGACCCTCTGTTTCTGTCTGTTATCACACACTGATTGAACGTCGAATGGCTGGTCCATGATTTTAAATATTGATTCAACAGTTAAGAGCAGTAGTTTGCTGGCTTTGAGGTACGACAATGATAAAAGTTGTAGTGTAGTGAAAGCTGACTGAGCCAAGATACTTAATTTTGGATAAATTTCTATTTTCTTTCTACAAGTAGGTGGGCTGAAATTGTGATGGTCGTGTTGAGAAAGTTCACTTTCTACCCGAACTCGTTCAAAGTTCAGTTCACACATTTTAAAACGAACTAGTTCAGTTCATCGCTCATAATTCCACATTTTGAACTTAAAGGTGGGGTAGGCAGGATCTGAGGAAGTGCCAGTTTTGGGGAGAAAACTTGAATGTAAACACTACCCCTCTGAACCAGTTTTCCCTTCAGCTCCTCCTCTTTCCTCCCTCTCTGCTCCAGCAAGCCCTGCCTATAAAACAGACGCTTGTTAATAATAATAATAAATTTTATTTGAAGGCGCCTTTCTGACACTCAAGGTCACCGTACAAATCACATTAAAAAACAGCATAAAACATTTAAAACACATTTAAGAGCAATACAAAAAAAATAAATGAATAAAAAAATAAGAAAATAAATAAGGAAAAACAAAAGAGACAGAGAAATGGAAATTATGGTGGATAGGCAGTTCTGAACAGATGTGTTTTGAGTCTTGATTTGAAAAGGATGAAAGAGTCAGTGTTCTTGAGATCGGGTGGTAATGAGTTCCAGAGCCGCGGAGCTGAATGCTCTGCTCCCCATGGTGTTGAGGCGGGCGGGGGGGACAGACAGGTGTATGGAGGAAGAGGATCTGAGGGCGCGGGAGGGTGTTGTAACGTGGAGCAGATCAGACAGATATGAAGGGGCGAGGTTGTGAATGGCCTTAAATGTAAGGAGGAGAACTTTGAACTGGATGCGGAACTGGACCGGGAGCCAGTGGAGCTGTTGGAGGACTGGAGTGATGTGGTGGAAGAAGGGGGTACGGGTTATGATGCGGGCAGCTGAATTCTGGACAAGTTGGAGTTTATGGAGGGTTTTTTTTTGAGGGAGGCCGAAAAGGAGAGAGTGGCAATAATCCAGGCAGGAAGTGATGAGACTGTGAACAAGGATGGCGGCAGAGTGGGAGGTATGGATGTTGCGTAGGTGGAAGTAGGCAGTCCGGGGGGGGGGGGGGGGCAGTGGAGTTGTCGATAGTTACAGATAAGCTGTAGGTTTTGGATAAGGTGGATTTGGTGCCAATGTGGAGGACCTCGGTTTTATTGCTGTTTAATTTCAGGGAATTTTGGGTGAACCAGTTTTTTATTTCAGTGATGCAGTCAGTAAGGGAGGTGGGTGGGAGAGAAGGGGAGGGTTTGGTGGCGAGATAGAGCTAGGTGTCATCGGCATAACAGTGAAAATGGATGTTATATTTATGGAAGATATTGCCAAGGGAAAGGAGGTAGATGATGAAGAAAAGGGGCCCCAGGACAGAGCCCTGGGGCACACCAGAGGTAACGGGGGAGGGGGTGGATTTGAGGGACTTGAGTTCGATGTATTGAGTGCGGCCAGAGAGGTATGATGTGAACCAGTTCAACGGGGTGTGGGTGATGCCAATGGTGGATAGCCGGTGGAGGAGGGTGGTGTGACAGATGGTATCGAAAGCTGCAGTTAGGCCAGGAGGATGAGGATGGTGAGGAGTCCAGAATCAGCTGCCATGAGAAGGTTGTTGGTGATTTTGATGAGTGCTGTTTCGGTGCTGTGGAGTGGGTGGAAACCGGACTGGAATTGTTCGTAGAGGTTATTGTGGGATAGGTGGGAATGGGAGTTGGGAGGCAACTGTTCTTTCGAGGATTTAGGAGATGAAAGGTAGGTTGGATATGGGACGGAAGTTGTTGAAGTTGGAGCAGTCTGCACCAGGTTTTCTCAGAATTGGGGTAATGGCAGCAGTTTTGAGGGATGTTGGGACAGTTCCAGTGGTAAGAGACGATTGGATGATGGCAGAGATGAGGGGGACCAGGGAGGGGGAGCAGGCTTTAACAAGTTGTGTGGGGAGGGGGTCCAGTTGGCAGGTGGATGGTTTGGATTTCTGGATGAGTTCAGTGATCTCAGAGAGGGAGGGGAGATGGAAGGAGGAGAATGGGTGTTAGTGCGGGTGCCAGTCAGCTGAGATGCTGGGGTGAGGGGTTGATCCGAGGTATCCGGCATTATGGAGTTGCAGAAGGAGGCTGTGTAGCAGTGAGAGGGGAGAGAGTCTTGGGGTTGGGTGATATTGTTGAGGAGAGAGAAGAGTGTTTTGGAGTTTCCTTGATTGGCGGTGATTATCCTGGAGTAGTAGTGTGCTTTGGTGCTGGTGATTGAGTCCTTGTAAACTGACATGTGGTTGTTGTAGATTTCCTTGTGAATAGTGAGACCCGTTTTCCTGTAGAGGCGTTCCAGTTGTCGACCTTTAGCCTTCATGAGGCAGGGAGCAGGGGTGAACCAGGGGGCGGAGACGGTGAAGGAGACGGATCTGGTTTTTAACGGGGCGAGGGTATTAAGAATATTAAGGAGTCCAGTGTTGTAGTGAGAAACCAGATCGTCGGGGGTGGATAGAATTTGGATGTCAAGGAGGCAGGGGGAGTGGATGCTGGAGGTGAGAGTGGCCGGGGTAATATTCTTTATATTCCGGAATGAGTTGAGGCGTGGTTTTTTTGAGATGGAAAGAGTGAGTCTCACTGTAAATGATATAAGAAAGTGGTCAGATATGGGGAGTTCATTGGCTGTGAGATCAGAGGGGGTGACACCAGAGGGGCAAATTAATCCAGAATATGTCCTTTGGAGAGTGTGGGGAAATTGATATGTTGGTGACAGCCAAAACTTTCTAAACAGGAGGTGAAGTCTTTGGTGAGAGGCAGGTTGATATTGTCCATGTGGGTATTGAAATCACCCAGTATTATTATGTTAGGTGAGAGAGATGATAAATGGGTGAGAAAGGCACGGGGTTGTGAAATGTTAACAAACCCACTAGGAGTGGATTCGTTCAGCTGGGTGAAGTCGTTGGGCTGTTGCCATGTTTCGGTTAAAGAGAGAAAGTCCAGTTTATTGTCGGTGATGATGTCCTGGATGAGTTGTCCCTTGTTGGTCAGTGAGGGAATGTTCAGAAGAGCAAATGGAGTGAGGAGCTGTCAGAGCAAGTGGAGGTGTTAGCGGACCGGGCTAGGTGGGCTAACACACTGTGGTTAACAGCCCTGCTGGTGGAGCATGGAGGGTGACGAGAAGTGGACCAGATGGATCTTATTGCTGTTGAGCAAGAAGGAGTAGGAAGGTGTGACATTGAAGAAGAAGAGGCAGACATGGGAGGAGCCGGCTCGGCCATGGGGGGAGAATAGTAACAATGGGAAGCAAAATTTTAAATTGGCCGCTAGCATGCGGCAGCCCCGCCTGTTTGGATGGAGACCGTCAGACTTGTAAAATGAAACTCGGTCCCAGAATAAATTAAAATTATCAATAAACTGGACGTTGTAGGTCCTACAGGCTGACTGCAGCCAAGTGTGAAGGCCGAGTAGCCTGCTGAATGACTCAGAGCCAGGCCTGAGAGTGGGAATTGGGCCGCTAATTAGGACCGACTTGCCGGTGCGAGTGAGGAAGCTTAGCAGGTTGGTGAAACTGGTCTTGGTCACTTCTGACTGTTGACGGGCCATGTCATTTGTCCCCACATGGATTATTATTGTCTGGACTGAGGGTGGCAGGGAGGGAAGCAGATGGGGGAGCACCGCAAGAATGTAGGAGACCGTCGCCCCGGGGAGACACTGTGTAATTGTGTTAAAGAAGCGAGTGTTCCTGATTATGGAGTCACCAACGATTAATGAGGATGGGGGAAAAAGGGGGCGAGGGGAAGTTGGGAGTGGACTTAAGGAGCTAGTAGCTAGAGGAACATTTTCCACCGAGCGGGTTGCTTCTGTATCCACCAGCGACAGTGAGGGAGGAGGAGCAGGGCGGACAGAGGGGGGGCGAGCCAGAGTTCTCTGTGGTGCTGGCGTGAGGAGCAGTATGGAGCGGCAACGACAGGCAGGGTGGGTGGGCTTGGCTGAGCTGAGAGCGGGGACTGGGGGAGAGAGGGTACTGCGGGACTTCTGGGACAAGCATGGGAACGGGGAGGTGGGCTGTGACTCAGTTGGGAAGGGGGGGAAATCATTGGGATCTAGGATGTCAAATCTATTAGCTGTGTGAAGTTTGAAAAGCGGGGTCTGCGGTTGGCTCCTCAGTTTGCTGGCACGGGAGCTGACCATAGACCAGTGCTCCTGAGATGGAGTGGAGCTCAACGGAGCCTTAGGTTTGGCCCCTGGCCGAGCCCAGGAGACATCGGAGATGGAGGGTGGAGGCCAAGCAGCTGACGGTGAAGGAGGAGCAGCAGCAGACCCGGCGGGTGAAGGGGGAACAGCTGCGAGAGTGGAAACAGCAGGCTCTGAGCGACAGGTGGATGCAGTGCTGTCAGGTTCAGGATCCCAGGAGTGATTTCCGGTGACGGGTTGTGCCGCAGAAAAGATGATGGTGTCGAGCAGCTTCTCGGCTTCCTGGATCTTGTAAAGCGTGGAGATCTTTCCCTCAAGCTCCAAGATTTTATCGGCGAGGGCAGCGCAGCTGACGCAGCCAGATGGAGAGGAGAGTGGGGCCCTGATGTCAGCTGGAGGAATCAGCCAGGCTGCTAACTCTCACTCATATCATTTCAACTAAATTCAGATATGCAGATAAATACTTCAGATGATTACAAATGGGGCCCAGTCAATGTGAGAGTAAAAAGCATTGGTGCTACTGTAGATGCCAACAGACTACCAGCAAACACAATGTTTGCAGGACTTCTACAACTAGGACAAAGTGACATACTCCAGGACCTGAGCTAAACAGTTTAGCAACGTTACAACATGCAGCAGGTCCCTTTTGACAAGAAACACTTCTGTTACACTTGGCTCACTTTGTTAAAGCAGTTTACCTGTCCAGTAGAAAGGTTACAGGGTCCGTAAGAGCCCAAAGCCTACCCCATCATTTATGATTCATTGATGTTGATCCGGCTTTTTAGCTCTTGTCCGGTCTACCTCCATTTCAAGTGCCTGTTATTCCGCCAGAGTCTCCGGTATTTACTTTGTTTTATTGCTTGTGTTTTTGTACTTTCTGGTTGGTTTCTACTGCCCGATGTTGTAGCATGCTAACTTCGTTTGGGCTCACACACGTTAATTGGGGATGTGGAGTGTGCCTCACAACACGAGGGAGCATCGTCTGCCTCACAACCAATTAGCACTAAGGAGCAGCGTCTGCCTCACAACCAGGTATGGGGAGGCGGGTAATGGCTTTGTTTACAGTCAGAAAGAGCGGGCTGCAAAAAAAAATTTAAAATGTTGACTACTTTTGACTACACAGACATAACAAAATACAGCAATATCGTTATATAATCAAATGTCATCAATAACTAATAGCTATTGACTGATATTAAAAGCTTTTTGTCGATACACCACAGTAAAGATGCTTCTTTAACGGAGTCCTGCCTACTCCACCTTTAAGTTCATGATTCCCAAAATTTTTTTACGGAGCCCATATAGAACCAAATAGCAAATATTTTAGCCGTTTTAACACTGTAACTAAGTCAGATTTATCTTTATATCCATTTTTGAATCCTAATCCAACTAGGTTTACAATAGCATTGAGAGGACAGTCCTCAGAGTAATAGCGTTTACCTAATGTTTTGTTCAGTCCTCACTAGTAGGAACGTTCATCTCTAGAGTATATTTTCATAAACATGAGGAAAATCTGCTGCTTAAATGGTTTTTGGACTCATTATGATTACATCAGTTTTTTTTTTATTAAATTTTTTTCATTTCTATACTTTTTCAAACCTACCTGGAAACAATTCATATCAAATTCCATTTCAGTCATACTTAAAAGGAACCAGAACAAATACCAGAAATAACAATAACAATTAACAACAATGATATGATATTGTGGTATGATATGATATCATACCATATCCATTAAAGGTTTGCTGACAACGTCATCAATGTTCGGACTTGCTTCCTGAAACCAGGCGGAAGGTATGATTTTTACTGTCTGTGTCAGTGCTGACTTTTACATAAAACTTTTAAATGCTCATATGAGTCCGTGTGCTCTGGGCAACCAGTGCTACCTCCCTCGCCCATTATGTATACTGAAGTTGGGACGACTGATGTATTTATTGGAGCGACAGACAGGCTGCTGGTGGTTGCCAGATTGGGTGGCTTTCTGCTAAATATTAAGGCCTGTTTACAGTGTGTTTTATCTGGGGTTTCGCCTGGAAGGCTCTGGACATCTGGCACATATGTGAATGGAGTTTAGAACGCCGCTCACAGATGCCAGAATAAGCGTGTTTAACACCAACGCGGTCATACGCAAATAAAGACCGATACGTTCATGTTCGCATGAAAAATGAACAAGTTCATGAATGATCGTTTATTGAACGCGTTCGGGCACAACACTGGTTGTAAGGTGGTCCTACCTGTCTGTGTCCTGTGTGGGAGCACTGATACTTCATGTCTAAGAGCTGGCTCCAGTCAAAACCAAAACCTCATGCTCATTTATTCTTTCTGCTCCTACACCCCTGACCCCCAAACGATGGCTTGAAAAGTGCCATTTTCTGTTCTGAGAGCTCACTGCCCTTCTACGGGCTTATGTAGAAGACTAATTCAGTCTATATAGATGCTAAATGAACACAATAAAGGGGTGGGGCCATGCTCTAATGAGATGATAACCACAAATGGAATCAGCTTGTGATCATCGTGACTGTTCATGAGACAATCAGTCTTTGTAGGGTTACAGATAAACCTGCTGAGGAGCCTGCAGATCAGGAGCTGTGGGCCGATGTAGAGAGTGGAGAAGAGAAAAACTATGCAGAGAAACTGATGGAGACAGTCAGAGACAGCTGGGCTTAGGCTCTCTGTCTCTCCACTGGGGGAAGTGATGTATATCTGGATGGTACTTGACACCAATAAGTGCTTGCTCCTCTGTGAGCATCTAGGGGTGAGTCTCAGGCTAAAACTGCGGATGGGTGTGTCAGATGATGAACAAAGGGTTGGAGGCTTCATCCAAACAGAGCACCAGCTTTGTTTTCTGTTACTGATTCAGCAGGGCTCCAGTTAGGATGTGGGGGTTCTTCTGCAGAATATTTTTATAGTTAGGGTAATTTCCTCAGGACAACACTAATGTACTGTGGACCAGAGAGAAACGTATTCAGTACAGGCTTGTCTCCTTTCACATGGTGCACACATTTGTTCCTGTACTACACACACACACACATACAAACCTCTGATACACAAATGCACAGACTTAAAAGCCATCAGGAGCACCAGTGTCAGTGTAAAAACAATGAGCATCATCATCACCTTCTTCCTGACTGTACTCCTGTCAAAGTCTTCTGTCAGATCAGTGAACTCAAACAAAGCTCCTTTGAGGAACTTATTTGTCTTATATTTTGGCGCCCCCTGTGGACAAGTTGGTCTTTGCTTATCTTGACATTTACACATTTCTGTTGTGTCTCGCAAACATTGGGCTCTATTTTCGTGCCTCGCCGGAGACGTGCCGGAGACGTGCCATAGGCGCAGCGTAAGTCAGGTCTGCCTTGCCGACAAGGCGTTCCCAAGCACAATTTGGTATTTTGGTGAGCAGCGGAGCCCGGCGTAAGTATCCCCCCTCCCTAACTCAGCTCCTCCCAGCGGCGTAAGTCATAGCGAGGGAGGAGAAAGGGCGTAGAGTGGGTTTAACACAGCCGAGACCTGTTTTCACCAATCACATCAGCTCCTCTCCTTGCCTTTAAATCCGCCACAGGCGAGGCGTATTACCATTTTCGTGAAGTAGTCAAAGAGATCAAGAGATGTCTGAAGACAGTAACGCCACAAGATGGCGACAGAAGGCAGCTCTTCAACTAGTGTCACTGTAAACGCTGCATTGGGCGTCCTCCACACTCTCTCATATGAGCACAGATGGATTTGGTGTGTGTAATGTTGGACCCACTGGTAAGACAAACACCCTTTTCCACAAATAAAGACACTCACATAAAGTTGCATATATTCAAACCTCACGTGACAAAGGTGGGTTGTGCGCACAGATCACAACATAAACTCCAAAAATGGCATTAAAATTGGAACCATCTGTGTGTAAATGACGCATCACGCTCGGTGGCCTGGCTCTTTCTTTCATAGATGTTGGCATATAAAGTAAATTTGCCTCACAAAACTGAATATTATAATATCCGTATGTCGGCTTAAAGTAGATAACTCATCTGAGCACTGAAACAAATCATCTGTTCAGCTGCTGCAGGACAGAGAGAGGACACGGAGACGTGTCCAGGTCGAGCTGCGTGAGAAATAAGGGGAAGAGGAAGAAATAAAAGGAGGGAGACGAATTACATATCGAGTTAACTTCATCATGTGTGTCTATTTACTAGATATTTAATTCAATTTAATGCGGATTAAGCTGTGTTGATTCGGTCAGGTTGTGTGTCCAAACGCGTGCCAAACGCGCTCATCAGATCAGATATAGATCAGAATATATCCATAGATCTAAATGTATGTGCTGACTCAGATTATTAGTTGTTGATGATTATTTATTGCACTGAAATGTGCCTGACACTGTGGAAACCTGCCGGTGAGGCATCAGTGACGTATGCCGATACGCCGCCGGTCTACCAAAATACTACTAGACCAGCTGCGTTTCGCCTGCGCTGAAAGCTGACCAGGTTTGAATCGGCGAGCTTTCAGCGCACTTTACACGCCGGTGGCGAGCACGAAAATGTCACTGCGCCCGCTGATTCTGTCGACACCTCCCCCTGCCACGCCACCACACCCAGCTTGGCGGATCTCGGCTCGCCTCCGTGCGCCTCAGTCCACGAAAATACCAAACTGGCCGTACGCGGGGCTGCGCCAGACGAAAACACAACTGCGCGGGGCTCGCCGCCCTCCGTCGCCTCGCTGGCGCACACGAAAATAGAGCCCATTGTGTTGTGCAGAGCCTTCTGAATTCAGTGTTTGTCATTTTCCCTCTCAGACTAAAGGACGTGGATTACTGGCAGTAGACTGAAGTCATCTGTATGCAACAAGCAGACACAGAGCACACAGCAACACAAGCTGGACCTTAGATTATCCTCACTGACACACACACACACACACACACACAAATGTATCCTACATTAGCAGGAGTGTTGAGGTGTCAGTGGTGTGCAGGAGCTCTCCTGGTGTCTGTCAGAATAAAGAGAAATGAAGCAGTTGAATAAAAGCTGCAGAGATGTGTTTCCTGCATCAGGATGATGACCTCCTCTCACACAGAGTGACCTGCTCCTCCAGTTTCAGACTCAGAGGAGGTTTTCTGATCAACTCAGTAGAGAACAGATCAGTAGTGTTGCCCCTGTTTCTGGTTTACATGTTTGTGTATGGTGAGTGTGTGAGACTGGCAGCTGTATCTTTATGAGTCACATAACACTTTATCATCACTGTTATACAGTCATGCATCTGACCTTTAACTGCTTTGAACGTTAACTTTAGCTTCTGTTTATTTGTTTTCTGACACACCTGTGAGGCTTGTCAAATACCCAGAGCAGGGACTTGAATGCTCATCTCTCCACTTAAACAAAATATCACCATAATCTCACCCAGCTACTGTGTGACAGACCAAAGGGGTGTACATCTGTCACTGTCAGGGTTCAACCCGGGCAAAAGCTTTGGCTGTCACCTGGCCTGGCATGAGCTACTTGACTCTCTGTTGGAGTGGGCAGCGGCAGGTGACCCCAGATTCAATGCCGTGTCTTGTTGCAGGGGTCTAATGTTGGTGTATATTTCATATATTCATTGGAATAAACTGGTTCTCCCTTTTTTATTTGAAATTATCACTGTTTTGCTGATTCTTGTCTGGACATGGGGCTTGAGAAGTACAGACTTAATGATGCAGCTGTTTGTTTGGGGGTTGACCTACAAAGACCAGAAGATGGGAGCACAATCAGCAATCTCTCCTCAGCCCTGCAAGACCCCCCAAACTACATAAACTACAGCCCGAGAAGTGTGCCCTCATGCAGGAACAGTCACACATGCAGATACTTAAACATAGCTAAGGCATGTTTTTCAATGACTCTGAAACATCACTCTCAATACCACAGCACTCCCAGATATTAAGAC